TGAATCAAAACTATAAATTTTGTTGAACTTGAATATATTTATATTTTTGTAGCCATCAATTTTACCATGAATTTATGTAACTTAGGGTCCGTTTGATTGTAAGGGTGGAAAATGGACGGAAAGAAAATATTTTACAGGGAATTGAATTGGCTAGAAATTATTTTACTGGGAATTGTAATTAATTGTGTTTGATTGGTATAATTTCCCACCTGGAAAATATTGAAAGTTTGGTGTCCGTTTAATTTCATTTTTCATGAAAATTGTCCATTAAAGTCATAATTTTTTATACCATTGGGTTTAGAATTTGTTCAAATTACCAAAAAAAAAACAAAATTTCAAAAAAAAAAAAAATTAACCATACTGAATATCATTCGTTTGGCTTTGTTTCGTATGTAAATTGTCAACAAAAGTGAAATTTTTTTTTATCATTGTGTTTAGAATTTTTTTCAATTCCAAAATAAAAAAAAAATTGGAAAAAAAAAAGGCAAAAGTTGGAAAATCAAAAACTACCAAAACATAAGGAAAATATATTCATTGATTGGAAGGAAAACATGGCGCGTGGGATTGCGACGGGAAGACAAATTCCAAGTCAATTTTGTGCAATCAAACAGCAATATAATGGGAAAATGGAAAAGGTTTTCAAAGTTCCAGGAAAAATTTGGAGTTTCAAACAGGGCCTTAGTACAATGGCAAAATTGATCCCTGCATTGGTGCTGTGCTCGTGAGAATTAGAACCAAATTCGATGAACTTTGTACAAAAGCAAATCATATTTGGGTTAGGCATAATGGGTCGTGCCTTTACATGGTTAACAGAAAACGAAATTGGAGAAGATAATTTAGAGAGATGGCACCCAAAGGAGAAGTTAATCATCTTAGTATCCTTGAAAATATTTTTTTGGCTGGTGGGCATAATGAACTGTGACTTGAGGGTTTATTAGAATTTTAGATTTTCTTATTCTCTTTGTAAGTGATTTTCAAAGAATAAAAATTGGTGAATGTGGTAGGCTTACAATATTATTTTTTATTGTATTTGAGTCATTTGGGTAAGTGATATTCTATATGATTGTATCAAAGTTTTGAGAATTCATAAATTTTTTCGCGTTTATTTTCTATGAACAAGGAGCTCGCAGGCAAATCAAGGAATTGGTTTTAATTTTCAACTGTAGTATCAGAGTATTAAGTTGTTTAAAATATTGAAGAACATAAAATATATGTCAGATGATGTGGAGAAATTCGATGAAATAACCAGCTTTGGCTTGTTGCAAGTACGAGTCAATGACATGTTGATTCAATTTGGATTGTGCAAACATTAGAAAGGGAGACCCAACTCCATTAGGTATAGATAACTTGTTCACATTAGGGAAAGTTGTTCGAAAGATGAACAGACTCAACTAACTGCTCAAGCTCAGAATGGCATTGTGTCTCTCTTTATGAAGAACGATAATTTCACTTCAGTTAATATATTTAAAACCTACATAGGTTAATTGACATGATAGAGGATGTGCTACTACTAACAGTTCCATATATTTGTGTACATACATTGGTTTCACATTACTGAAAGATGTTTGGTGGAACCGGTATCAATGATTGATGGACTTCCATGGAAGTCAAGCTTGGGATTGCACCATAACTTTTCAGAAAGTCTATTCGATGCGAGTCGATGAAATCCTTAGATTCTAAGTGTTTATATTCGTACAGTGAGGTATGTTTTACTAGTTTTTTAGAATTGGGACTAACCAAGTTTACCATTTTTTCCTTAGATATCATTATCAAATGTTGCGGAAGATATAAAAATGAAATTTCACTCATTTTTGAAATGTGGAGATTGTTGGAATATTGCCTCAAAAGATGCCAAATTTTGTAAAAAAAAATTATGACGAAAATATTATAAAATGTGAATTGGTTGTCCTTTTTGGGTTTTTTAGACAAAAAATCGTAAGTTCGGCATTTTGATTTTTCGTGTTCTCTTGTGAGTTTTTCAAATAGTAGAAAGGTGAGGATGTGGTAAAGTTTATGATATTATTTTTTCGACGGCGGTGGAATGGTTTGGAAGAGTAAATTTGTATATGATTTATCAATTTCATATAGCATTGACAAGCTTTGACGGTCTATAAATTTTTATCTATTTTTTTTATATTTTTGTCTCGTTATTTTTCTCCACTCAACGATCATGTCGACAAGTTTAAAAAATTGGTCTCAATTCTCAACAAAAAATTGCAAATGTAAGGGTGTGTCTGGTATCAATTATTCAAGTCAAGAAATAAATTTTTGAACTGTTGGAAAGCAATCTTAGAAGCCAAAGTTGACTTCCTTACTCACAAGTGGGACCCATCGGTTGAAAACAACGGTCATTTTCTTGCTATAAATCTGCTAAAAATTTATACCAGACACACTCTAAGTCTCTATTTTCGACATAATCGTGTGTTGCTCACAAGGATGTTATTCGTTTTCTTTTTCACCAATTTCCGTTGACAAATATGATTATGGATTGAGTCAAATTACTAAAGCCCAATGAGATATCATCTCCGGCCCATCCACTATCATATAAGTTCTAGCCCAACTAAACTATTCCCATTTTTTTCATTTTTTTTTTCTTGCCATATTGAATGGGAATTAGAATCGAAGTATATTAAGCCCGTGTTTAGCTCTCATTTTTAAAATTTATTTTTAATCATACATTTTCTAGGATCCAAAACTTTTATCAACTTTCCAACTACATATTCTATCAAATTTTTTTTCTAAATATACTAAAAATTGATTTTTAGCAAAACCAAATAGGGCTAAATCACGAGGCATGTTAGAAGCTAGGTTGTTTGATCTGCTCTATAAGTTTTTGTGTGAACATAGAATAATATTTTTATTAAAATCAAGAATGTAGTGTAAGTATTTTAAGTCAAGTATACCAAAAAATTTTGAAGATATGAACATGTATCTTGAAATTTTCTTCAAGATTTAAATTGCTTCTTTGATCGTTGCTGCCATTGCAGCCCTTTTTTTTTTTTTTACTTGCTTCTCACGCTGAGACCCAATTTACATCAAGTAACGATGAAAAAATGGATTTTAAGCAAGTAAAAATTAGAGCCAAACACGTAATCTAATTCATTTAAAGCTGTCAAGAAATTTTCTCGATACTTTTTACAAAGAATTGTAAACTCGATCAACGTGTTATTACATTTTAAAAAGAATTTATTTCAGGCCTTTTCAATTCAAAAGACAATTCAACCGTAACAACTATTGTGACAGAGCATGTGGGTATCCATGACTACATAATTATTACATTAAAAAATAAGAAAAAACCACAGAGAGGAGTTTATTCATTAAAAAATTCAAATAAAACAT